GAGAGAATGAATTAATGACATACCTGAAGCCCCTTTATAGGGGGAGTATACCTTTTTAGCCCAAGTTGGGCTTGGCCCATACCATATGTCTTATCCATTTATGGACTTATTTTCCAATATATCCTTATTATCTATTAAAGTCGGTGTATTATAATATCCCATATCATCATGCTTTGTGCAACTTTCAGACTTAAACTCATCATTCTCATCAATTGATTTCATGGTCTTACTGCCAATAGTTCCCAATATTCACATTTCAACTGATTTCATTCTCATCAATATCATTTATATAATGCTATTAATTTGTTTGTGTCGACACTTATTCATTTCCATTATTCCTCGTAATATATTGAGATAACTAATTATCAATTGATTTTATCAATAGTATATATATGCCTCCTTTCATCACGTAGTTGGGGAATTCAATTTCCACAATACCAACGCTTCCAGCGTATTATTCCACCATCATATCATTTCATATATTTCACCATCATCAGTATCATTCAGTTTATGATTTGCACACTTTCAGTGTGATGCATATACCATTTACAAATTTCAATCATTGATTCTCCCCTTCATCTTAATAGACCCTTGATTTGTATTTTCAGTATTGAGTTTCTTGAGGGGAGTTCATATAATCTCCATTTCGTTCTCGATTTCAACATAGGATTGGAGGACTTCGAACTCATATCACTTGCAATATGCACATTTTTCTTTCAAGAGTTCATCATATTAGCTGAGTATATTACTAGCTTCATCACTTTAATATGAGACTCATTTTCATTCTTTCCTTATCATCTTGTGTCATTCTTTTTATCTTACCATCTCGTAACTTCTGTTTACGTGTCGTATACACATTCTTTAATCGAATCATCTCGTAACTTCAGGTTACGCATCATATACACATTCTTTGATCAAATTATCTCGTAGCTTTAGGTTACGAATCACACATGTGGCTATCTCGTGGATCAATAATATCTAGTAGCACACATGGAGGGGCAGTGGGCTCATATATATCATACCCTTTTTATACTCAAGTTGATCAAATATTGATTAACAAATATTTAGCTAGTAATAATTTTCACCAAGCGAGAACAAAGCATCTAATATCACAAAGAATCAGTTAATCATGCAAACCATCATCATTTATATCAGTAACATCACAATAATTCACTGTGACACATTTATTACAAACATATCACATTATATTTCGACGACAATAAATGCACTTTAAGTGCAGATTGTGATACACAATCTTTTAGTCACTGTTTAAATCAAGAATCAGATCATGTCTTTTGACCAACATACTTTTGAACACTGTTTAAATCTAGAGTCGTATCGCATACGCATCATTTTTTTTTATAAATTAACAGGTAATTCATCCGATCTTCCTTAAAAATGTTCCGAATTTACAAATAGATTTAGCACTTCTCAAATATCCGTAAATATTATCCATTTGTTTTAATAAATATCATAAAAAGGATTTATCGATCTCGATTAGAAAGATTGTAGATGCTAATGAATAATGGTATTCCAAGTGATGTTTCAATGGTTGATCGAAAGCACAAGTTTGATTGTCTAGAGAGTTTTCAAATTCATATAAATATATGCCAGGGATGGGTAAGAGTACTTCTGCAAAGAAACGAAGAGCAAAGAGAGTAGGTGTATGCTTCAAATGCGCTCGATGGACTTGTGACACACGATGTAAATCTGTGGGGTTTGTGTCCAAAAATTGAGAAGATAAAATAGCATTTACAAAAGATGGATTGAGTAAGGAGTCTATGGATCAAACAATTCAACAGATTCTTGAGACACATTATAGTGGATATGTGCATCGTGAGCTTATGTCTTTATAGATTCAATTTAAAAATGAAGAAGAACGTTATAGTCTCGAAAATATTGTTTCAAAAGATCAAGTTTGTAAAACACGTCTTGTTGGTACAAAAATAATACTAATACAATTTAGTATGTTGTACTGTAATTTTTTAGAGAATCTTATAGCTGCCGATAGATAAGTTTTAATTAAAACCCATCGCCTTATCTATCAGTTGCAATTGTCAGAAGAAACAGCAAATTATTTATCGCTTTGTGAAACTTTCTATTTAAATAGCGAGTCGTTCATCATAATCGTATGCTAGAAAAATTTTGCAAAAAATCACTTATGTTTCAGAGTCATCGCAAGGTAAATTTTTTTTTTAACCGATCAAAACCATGTGTGTTCTTGGTGGTTCTAGACTGGTAAGTTTTTCACAAAATATTGAGATTGTAAGTAAGTTAGTAAATGAGATGGGGAATACAAAAATCAATTTGTTGTATGGAAGGACTAGCCTCACTTTCTTTGATAGTCGCTTAATGGCTGGACAATGTTTTGAGATAGAAGTAAAATGTATCATACATTTTCGTAGAGCTTCAACAAGGGTCATCAAGGATTCCATAAGCATGATGCTAACTCATTCTATTTATGATTGTATGATGGATATGGTAAACAAGAGCGATGGTTCTATCATTCTTCCAGACGATTATGGAACACTAATGACAATGTTCACCATTGCTTTTGGGCAGAATTGAAACTTCATAACAAGCTCATAGGTCTATAAAATTTTAATAACTTCTTTCATGGTTTGCTTGGATTTTAAGACCAAGGAGTATATCAATCCTTTATATCTCCTCAAACGAGAGAAATATTCAAATCTGCTGACACATCTGCTGAACTTATCAAAAAGTTTCAAGAATGCATCACGTTTCAAAATTCTATGGAAACACAAGGGGTCAAGCGAAAAAGAGCTTTTGATCCTTTAGATCTCTCATTATGAACCCAGATAATAATCATGAGTGGCAGAGTCACGGAGTTTTATACTCTCGAGACGCACTCTTCTTTTATGGGTCCTATTATGTAATCTTTGTGTATTTTGTATTTATCGAGTATGTATTGTCTCTTCTCCGTATTTTCATCATCTAAACCTTTTGTACTTGTTCCTCAATAGTAATATCAATTTCGCTTTTTCTCTAGATAAGTGTGTAGTACTTCATGACTACAATTATTGTCATGTTTGCTTCTTCTGGAGCACATCATTGTAATATCCATATAATCTCGAATTATCAATTTGATCTTGTCACCAGATATCTCCATTTAGACTTATATAATATATTGAAAAATCATTATTGTGTGATCACCCATAACTGTTAGCTTTTCACACCTTATTCTCATTTTGTTCAATCATCCAATGATAGCTTCCGGTACCATTTCATCATTTTGTTTAATCATAACGTGGTAGCTTCGAGTATCACTATACATGATATCGTAATTATGTGGTATCTTTTGGTATCATATGATAACTTCTGGTACCATCTCATCAATTTTTGTTTCTCCATAAATTTGGAGAATTTATCAATTGTTTTTCAAGATAAAGTAGTCCATATAACGTCCGTTCATGATCATGACTTTGGTCAACATTCACATGGCCATATACAAAGTATCATTCATTTCATTCATTGGTTATTGCTTAATTTGTACTGTCTGTCGCCGGCGGCAGAGCTGCATTGGTCGACCCATGTATATATATAGCCAATCAAATTTTGTTGCACGTGGCCTTGCCACTTGGCCATATCATATCACCGACTATCATTAATAAATACGCTCATCATTTGGCCATCACCGGTCATCATTATTCAATACACTTATCATCTGGCCATCACCGGTCATCATTAATCAATACACTTATCATCTGGCCATCACCGGTCATTATTATTCAATACATTGGCCGGTTTACTTAGTTGTTCAAATCTTCTTTTGTATTGTATACTTCAATGGATAAACTGCTCAACCATTTCACATGATTTTTCATATTTCAAAAGTTGACCCGTAGGCTACCGTTAAATATTTCGTGCCAGCGGCAAAACTGCATTGACCATCTATGTAGCCGCGCATACCTCTCATATCACAAGGGTCAATCAATACATATTCACATACTCATGTAACAAATAATTTTCACAATTCAAGCATTTTATAATCATGTGATGTACTAAACAATATCAATATTAGTATTAAATATAGTATGCAGTTAAACTTGCCGGGCATTTAGTAAAGAAAGACTCGATATTAATGCAAGCACAACAATTATTGAGTTCATCATTTAAATTTGTCGGCAAATGTAATCCCATTCGTGAATAAATATTGAGTTCATTAAAAAAATCGAGTTGACATATACACAGTTATGGAGTCTGCTGAGGTCGATGTCGGGCTAGGACCCCGTGACAGTGTCTTTTTAGAGCTGGTTTATAAACCCACTATGAGGTACTGGCATGTTAGCAAAATGGACCAATATTTGAGCTGCTAAACACTCCCAACATTTTTCTCTCTTTTATGTGAAACTGAATATACTCACAAAATTTATATGTAAATGAATACATTTTCAACTACTAAAATAAGATGACACTTAAGCATGGTTGTTCTTGGCATAGCTTGAAGTAACGAGAATGATTAGATCAAATTCAAAAGTTTGGCAAATGGAGTTTATTCAAAAGAAGAACAATGAGTAGTAATCAAATTTTTGATATAGAGGATCGTCTATACGATAGAGCATACTTTTCTCATATTATAAATCGAGCTTTAGAGGGTAGAGAGTCGTGCTGATAACGTGTTATAAAACTAGAGAGAAAAAGAGATAATAGAGAAATTATATTCTTCTTGGTGCAATTTTCATTATAGAAAACTTCTAATTCACAACTTGTAATAATACAAATACATCAATGGCAAGATAGTCATTCACATATCTTATTTTATTATCTCATAACAGTTCCTATTTATTATAATTATTTCGATCATAGTGCATGTCAAATTATATTATTTTTCAAATTTATACCGTTTGTGCATCGCACGGGATACGCACTAGTGAAAGATAATCAGTATATCGCTTTTTATTTAGACACATAACCAGATCCTTGGCATTCTCACGTTTGCTGTAAGAACTCTGAAACACCAGAACACAACTGAACGCCAATCAGTCGAAGGCCGAGACAATGGCAGGCACAGGAACGACGAAAAGATGTTGTTTTCGTGGGGCAATGACTCCTTGGGTTTCCATCATCTCCATATCTTGAGGACCCGTTCCTTTAGGCAACCTCCAATCGAAGTGATACAAAAGGAGCGCCAATGGGAGCTCAACGTTCGCCAATCCGAAGTTTATACCGGGGCAAATCCTTCTACCCGACCCAAACGGGATATACTCATAGTCGTTACCCAAGAAATCTATTGAGCTGTTAGCAAACCTTTCGGGTCGGAAGATTTCGGGCTCGGCCCAACACTTGGGATCCCTTCCTATGGACCATGTGTTGACCAAGATTTTGGTTTTTGCAGGAATTGAGTAGCCACCGATCTCGCATTCCTCTCTGGATGCTCTCACGACGAATGGTGCCTGAGGGTGCAGTCTGAATGTTTCCTTGATCACCAGTTTTAAGTACTTTAGTGCCTGCAGATCGCTCTCCTCAATCATCTTCTTTCCATTGAAGGCGCTCCGTATTTCTGCTTGTGCTTTCGCCATCACGTCCGGGTTTCTCATAAGCTCCACCATTGCCCAATCGGCAACAATGGACGATGTTTCAGTTCCAGCAGCAAACATATCCTTACAAAAATTAATTCATAAAAAATGCATGGCCAAGAGTTAGCTTACAAAAGACTACCAAAAGAGTTGATACATAATGAAGGTTGGATGGGGCACTTACAAAGATAACACCCTTGATATTGTCGTCCATAATGGGAAAGTTGAGGCCCCCATCCTTTTGCATTCGAAGCAAAACATCCACAATGTCCTCTCCACCAAATTCCCCACTCCTCCCCTTCCTCCTATGCTCCTTCAACATCTCGTCAAGCATCTCGTCAACTTTACGCCTCATCCTCACCAACATAAAACTGTTCCAGCTCAGGGCATGTAGCAACTTGATCGAGGGGAACAAATCCGCCAGCTCGAACCCGGCTGCCATGGTGACCGCCTTCCTGATCATAGCCACAAGTGCTGCCCAGTCCCTCACACCAACTCCCCCAAACACCACCCTGTACGTAAACGTGCTCGTGAACTCGAAGATCTTGTGGGTCAGATCAACGGCTTCTTCTTCTTCTTGTTCTTTCCTCATGAGAGAACTGACCAATCGGTATCCCTCGTCCAGCCGGACATGCTCGAATGACTTGACGTTCTTTGCGCTCAGGAGCTCGGCAGTGCAGATCTTGCGCATCTGCCGCCAGTAGTCCCCGTACGGGCAGAAGAAGATGTCGTTGGCGAAGAAGATATCGCTGCCCATGGTAGAGGGCCGGTCGCCGAGGGCCAGGTCGCGGTCCCGGAGGGCCTCCCTTGTGGCGTCCCGGGACGAGATCGCCGCCATCGGCATCTCCCCCATGCGCACGTACATGACCGGCCCGTACTCTAGGGACAGGTGGCGGAGGGCGCGGTGGGGCAGCCCCCGCCCAACGAGGTGGTGGAGGTGGCCGATCAAGGGCAGCCCCGGCGGGCCGGGAGGCAGTTTTTCGTTGGACCCGGGGTTTTTTGTGGATTTGCTAAGCGGTAGTACTACTTTGATTAGGAAGAGGATGAAGGTTGAAATAAGGAGCAGGTTTTTCATATCGCTGGGGACCAACTGGGCTGCTATGTCCATGGCTAGCCAGCTAACACAAGAAGATTATTAGTTACTACTGCCAAATTATATGCTATGTTTTGATATTTTGGGATGTCGCTTGCAATCATTTCAGGACATATATATAATATAGAAACTACACTGTAGTTGACGGACATTTTTTTTTTTTTTTTGGTACAATAAAGGAGGCCGAAGCCTAGAGATCACTAAAGAAGCACACGACGTGGACGAGCCACTCCTACAATATCATAGCTCAACCAAAGACCAATCTCCTGAGGCGGGCCATTAAGGCGATGGAATCCAACCGGAACTTCAACAGCAAGTGAAGCTAACTTGTCGGCCGCGAAATTCCCTTCCCGATAAATGTGGGAGACACGAACCCTCCATTCCCGCTTCATTAACTCACGAATGGCATGTATAATTGTACCATGTAGACCAAAATTATCCTCATCCCCTAGAGCCATATCCACGACACTCCTATTATCCACTTCAACTAAAACATTCCTCTCGCCCATGTCCCAAGCCAAACGAAGTCCGTGGAACAGGCCCCATAGCTCCGCCCCCGTTATAGTACAATACCCCACATTCATGAGGAATCCTCCGAGCCAACGCCCATTAGAATCCCGAGCTAACCCTCCCGCACTGCCTCGTCCCGACGCCATACACCGTGCCCCGTCTGTGTTAACTTTGATCCAACCCCTTGGAGGGGGTGACCAATGAATAAAAACCTCTTCATAACACATGTCACGGGCCCCCAAATTGGTAGCAGATTCCAGGATCCTCCGCTGCGCGTCCACTTTGCTTTTGACGTCTCTAATTTGCACCTCCAAAGGGAAGGCTTTGTTCGAGAAGATGGCCATATTACGCCAAGCCCAAATCCGCCAGCATGCGATGGAAAAGGTGATATCCCAATTTGCGACCCCGACAGTAGCGTGCTCCACCACGTTCGACCACAGCCACTGGCACATATCCTTAGAGAAGAAGTCCGGTCTGCACGAGATGGGGACCAACTCCAGCCACAATTTGCGCGCCGAAACACAATCCCGCAAGACGTGAGTCATTGACTCAGGCTGACCACAAAACCCACAAGCTGCAACCTCAGACAAATGCCGACGAACCCGCTCCATGTTTGTAAGTAAGCGCTCCCTTGAAGCCAGCCAAAGAAAGTGCCTTACGCGTTGAGCCACCGGCGCCCGCCATATTGCCCGCCATAACAGCCGACGTTGATCCGTGTCCCTTCGCGTCAAAGCGTCATATGCCGACCGCGTGGAGAAAACTCCATTAGATGTATAACCCCAAATCAGCCTATCAGGTCTAGATGATGGCGGCGGAGGCAACACTGCCGCGATGAGCAAAAGGGTGTTAGCCGGCAGCAATCCCTCGAACTTGGCCCACCACCAGTCGCCCGAAGCCGTGACGAACGCCGCCACTGGAGCTCGAAGCTCCTCCTCTGGTATCCTTTGAGTCGCTACCGCAATCAATGGTTCCGCCACATTAAGCCATCGATCCAGCCAAAAACGGGCCTGCCGCCCATCACCCAAAGCCCATCTGGTGCCCCGCCGGACTTGTGCCCAAACTTTCGCCACTGCTCTCAAACACACAGACCCCTTGGGAAAAATGAATTCCTCGCTCATCTCATTCGGGCACAATTTATATTTAGCACACATCACACGAACCCATAACTTGTTTGGCTGAGTGAGCATAGCCCACCCGAGTTTCATTAAAAGGGCTTCGTTCATGACTCTCGACTTCTTAAGGCCCAGCCCTCCGCAATCTCTCGGTTGGCATATGTCCTGCCATGACACCAAATGGGGCTTGCGTTGGTCCGACGAGCTACCCCAAATAAATGACCGACCATGTTGATCGAGCTTATCACATGTAGCCATCGATAATGCAACAGTCTGCATGGCATAATAAGGAAGAGAGCAAATGACCGCCTTTGTTAATGTAACTCTCCCAGCCGCTGAAAGAGACGCGGCCTTCCATCCAGCTAGCCTATTTTCGGCTTTCTCAAGGATCCCCGCATACGTAGACTTAGTGACACGTCTATGGATCACCGGCATACCCAAATAATTACCCAAGTCATCAACTCGTGAGTAGCCCAAGCTCAAAGCTATTTCTCGCCGTCGTGCTTCGGCCACCGATGAGGAGAAAAATATCTGGGTTTTAGACGAGCTCACTCTCATCCTGATTCCATGCAAAAGTCGTCCAGAACATGACGTAAAACCTCGGCCTGGCCCGTTGACGCCTCCATAAACAACAACAAGTCATCAACAAACATAAGAAAAGGGACACGTACTGACCCTCGGCCTACTGCAATCGGCTTCCACAGACCGCTGTTAACGGAAGCATTAATTTGTTGAGCGAGGCGTTCCATACACAGAACAAAAAGGTACGGCGAGATCGGGTCCCTTGACGAACTCCTCTAGTTGGGGTAAACGTCTCACACACCTCACCTTTCCAAAGCAAGTTCATCGAGCTCAAGGTCACGCATGACATGATGGCCCGCACTAATTTAGATGGAAATCCCGCCAAATGGAGCGTGTCGACTATGAAGTCCCAACGTAAGAAATCATATGCCTTCTCAAGGTCCACTTTTATGACCATGTGCCCCTGCCCGGTCCACCGCATCCTCATCGAGTGGATAAGCTCCTGGGCTACAATTATGTTATCCGTTATACTACGTCCCGGCACAAAGGATGCTTGAGCTGGATGAATGAGATTCGGGAGGACCTTCTTCATTCTAGACACTAACACCTTCGTGAACAGCTTGTAAGCCACGTTAAGAAGGCTAATCGGACGAAACTGTTGTATCGTAGTCGGGGATACCACCTTGGGAATAAGGACAAGCAAGGAGCTATTTAATTCCGGCGGTAGCGGTTCCCCCTCCCATAGACGTCGATAGAGGTCACACACGGACTCCCCGATAGTTGCCCAGTTCTTTTGGAAGAAGAGTGAGTTCAGCCCATCACTTCCTGGTGCCTTGAGAGGAGCCATGAGCTTCAACGCAGCCACCACTTCGCTCTCACCTATATCCCGAGCCATGTGTTCGAATCTTGCCGGTCCGAGGGAGGGGAAATAATTTTGAACCACACGGGCAGGTAACGGTGGTAGGTCCGCCGAGAAAATAGATTGGAAATACGAGACAGCCATTCGCCGTAGGCTCACTGGGTCGTCCACCACGTTCCCATCAACATCCAAGAGTGAAGTAACACGATTACGGGCTCTACGGACGCGTACCTGGCGGTGGTAAAAAGCTGTGTTTCTATCCCCAAACAAGGCCCAATCTCGGGTGGACTTCTGAATGAGTAAAATCTCCTCCTGCAACAGCACCTCATCTAACTCACGGCGCAAAGATTTTTCCAAAGAGACCAGACTCTCCTTAAAGTAGTAGCGGTAGGACTTTTGGATGCCCGAAATCCTAGCTAGCAGCTTCTTCTTCCGTTAGGAAAATGTTACCGAAAGTGTCATAATTCCACTGTTTGGCCCTCATGGCAAAATGAGAAGCAGCCTCGACGAAATTAACCCCGGGCCGCCATACCTCCTCAAGAAGTCGAGGAAAGTCACTATGAAGTAGCCAAGCAGCCACAAACCGGAATGGTTTACTACCTCCCATGTCACGCGGCCGGTGACCAAAGCTAAGCTGGATGGGCGAGTGGTCCGACTGAACACGTGGTAAATATAGCATTCGCCCCTCTGAGAATGTGGTCCGACTGAACACGTGGTAATCCACTTGGATTGAATCACTGATTATTAATCATTTTATATTTCCAAAATTTGTGGTTCAGTCGATGCTACGTATGGTAGTAACTGTTACTTGTTTTTGTATGTTTATTAATCTTTTTTATTTTTTTTTTTACTTTTTATCTTCATTTCATAATAAAATTCTAAATTGTCAATTTCATGTAAAATAGTATATGTTATTACATCCATTTTTACTATTTGTATTTCTCGACATCGATTTTCTTATGGAGCCATCGAATGGCTCGGCTTATGGACAGGGGCGTAGCCAGAGGGTGGCTCACCCGGGCTCCAGCCCAATTTTAATTTTTTGATTTATTTAAATATGTAGTACTAGAAAAATATTTTTTAGCCCATGTATACCAAATTGGTTCTAGCAGCCCAGTATAGAAAATATTTCTGGCTACGCTACTGCTTATGGAGTCAATGACGGATCCAAAGCCTCTTCAGGTGGGGCCTAGGCCCCACCTGGAATTTTAAGTTTTTTTTTTATAATATATATTGTTAAGAAAATAAGTATAAATTAAGTAACTTTACAAAAATAACCTATAAATGAAGTTGTTTATTAATTAGGTATTTTTTTCCTCTTTTTCTCTTACTAAAATTTTCTTATTGCAATATCTTATTTATCTGTTGTATCTTTAAATAAACTTATCATGACGTTGCATGCTACTATAATAATTATAATAAATTTATCAACTAAAAGATGGAATTATAAAAAATTCTTTGATCTAACATATTGAAAAATATTATCTCTCCTACCCACCGTGAGTTTTAAACATTTAAAAGATTGTCATAATGTGATTGATTAATCATGATATCTTGGTGTATATACCACTTAACGTGTTTACAGTTGGTAGATGAATAGTTTAATTTGTATTAATAATAACACATTTTAAGTCATTGGAATGGATAATAATCTGAAATATACAAATTGTAGGGTGTTTTAATATTTCATTTTGAATTATTTAAAAAATTAAATTTTTATGTAATGGTAGTTCTGTATGTCTCATCTTGTGCCATTTTTTTTTTTCGTTTTTTCCGTTACCACAAAATTTTGGCCCATGCCACCTCACTCAATTTGCTAGATCCCCCCTGTATGGAGTCATCCACTGTTATTAGCAAATGATGTATTGACACATGTCCTGCAATAAATGCACATTGGACATATGTCAGTAGATAAAGTTATGGATTGCTCCATAACGGAGCTATCCGATGGCTCCATAGACTTTCTGTTCTCGACATGTATCAAAATAAATATTTTAAAACTCATTCTTTTTAATTAGAACTCTAAATTTTTTATTAATCGTTTGCCTTACTCTGATACCATATTATATTATCATTTTAGGTGGTCCTATTTTTGCTAACTTTTTAAATTTTTGTTTGTGACTTTGTATTTTATAATTTATTTGTTTTAATTTTTGTTCGTCTTTTTTTATATATTTATATTTAATTATATTTTTTATTAAATAATCTACTTCTTTGATTCCCTTTCTTTTTATTTCATATAATTCAACATTTATATCTCTCATATTTATATCTATATTTAAAATTCTAGATTTTGTCATTCAAATTTATTACTAATGACCTTAACTCATTTTCTTGCATATTTAATTTTTCTATTTCTATATCTCTTTTATATAAACTACTACTACTACTATGTGGTTCTTCAAATTCTTGTATTCGCACTGAATTCGTTTTAGTTATTTGTCCTAAATTTTTCGAGTTACTTAATGGTCGCCTACTATGTTCTCTTAAAAATTCCCTTTGGATTCTATCATTTTAATAATAGTACTGATTTCATTAAATATTTTTCGTATATATTTTTTCTTGAGTAAAATGCATTTTTCGTCCTGTATGTTTACCCCTCTAAACATTTTAGTCCTCTTCAAATTACGTTTTTGATTTTTGTCCCGTATGTTTGAAAAAAGGTTACAAAAAAGTCTTTTTCATACATAAGGGATGAAATTGGAACACCTTATTGCAAAACATAAAGGACCTTTTTATTGCGAAAAGGACCTTTCTGTAACCTTTTTTCAAACATACGGGACGAAAATCAAAAACGCAATTCGAAGAGGACTAAAATGTTTAGAGGGGTAAACATACAGGACGAAAAATGTATTTTACTCTTTTTTCTTTATTTTGATAGTTCATACTTGGATCCACTTGGATTGAATCACTTATTAGCAATCATTTTATACTAGTACAACGCCCGTGTATTACACCGGGTGCTTGTTAAATTCTTTTTATTAAAATTTAAAATTAATGTGAAAAAGTAGTTGAAAATTTAAATACTTTATATATATATATATATAATATTTTAGTATGACATTTGTTACTTGTGCGACTTACATATGTTATATTATAATAATTTTTCTAACTTATAACATATAACTACACTAAACATGAATATATTAATTGAGAAATAATTTATTTTGTACTTAATTTTATTTAATATTTTTTATTATTGTAAAGATAAGTATAATTTATTTAACATATATATACAATATGGATATCAAATCGAAGTTTGTCAAAAGATGATTAATTTGATACATTATAGATGTAAGATCGATAATAAATACAAAAGTTATCAACTTTTAAAATACATTTACAATTTAATAGTTATAATAGGAAATGATATTAAAATACAATTAAGACATCTAAAATGATCATAAATAAATCAACATATTTATGGTAATCCGAACCTAATTAATTTTGGATTGGAATTAAATTAAAATCTATCCAAACCAAATAACAAAGCATGAAATTTTGACACCTAGGATTCCGAAGCATGCGAGCCTACCACTTAAGCTCAACACATTCGGAAATTATATATAGGGAAAATTTCCAAAATTTGTAATCTTTGGTGTGGATACAATAATTGCGTAGCCTGTTCATGTGTGATTTTACACCATATTTATAGAGTATTTAGAGCTTAGTCATTGCATTATTGGTGTATAAATTGCATATTTGTGCTTTAATTCTCTATTTGTTGGAAAGGTATTACACGTGCTCGATTTGTATATATTTTCACATATTTGTAGAGCTTGTGGCTATTAGAGGCGCACGTTGAGTACCTAGGACCCGCGGGATGATGAAGGATTGATGCATGGAGGAGAAAAATAGAAAAAACGAGCAAATCGGACAAAAGTGTGCATGCTGGGGTGTGAAACGGGCAGTGACACAGGCACGTTAACTGTGTCAGGTGGCCGTGTCACCTAACTGAAGGATTTCGAAGCTTTTGACGTGACATGGGCTGCGACACGGACGACGACACGGGCATACTGGCCGTGTCGCGCGCGCAGACGGATTTTTAAAGCTTGCCTTTTTGGATAAGGAGAAGGATTTTGGACATATAAAATACCATATTTACCTTATTTTGAAGGGGAGAACGTGAATACGCTGAGAGTAGAGCCCGAGAACACACAAGAGAAGCAATTGAGAAGCAAAAAGAGAATCAACTACGAAGGGATCAAGGAGATTGAAAGATCGACGAGATTCCTAGTTTTTATTTCTTCTTTCCTCTTGAACTTTTATTGATCATGTCGATTTCTAATATGTCTATGTGTTTGAATTCGAACATGAGTAACTAGATTTATTGATTCTAAGACTTGGTAGTAGATTAATATGTTGGGATTTTGGATGATTTATTTATAATTAAGTGTTTTTCTTTTGAACCCTATTCAAGTATTTTGTTCTTATTCCATGTTTAGAACTTGATCAATTCTTTTACATGTTTGACAATATTGTTCA